CTTTCCCTAACACTAGTGACATCATAATCATCTCCAGGTCCCCAAAGCAGTCAATTTTAAATGGCAACATAACACATTCCAGATATGACAATAGACCATGCAACAAAATGAAAAACTACCTTAGTGTCAGAGAAAGTATTGACAAGCTAAATACTTGTAATAATAGTCACTAAAATGGCTCTTTAAAAGTACATTAACAACTTCTCATCTTAATCTCTTATTTAATTATGTGTATTTCTGGATATGTTTCCAGACCAGTGAGAACATGTATGTACTTAATCCTCAATAAAATTACCATGTTTTAGAAAAATATGACACACCTGTTATAGATTAAGTATATGTATAATATGCAGCTATTAAAAGATGTTAAGACCAAAGTACTAACATTTCAAGTTTTAAACAATGAGAACAAGATGTGTGCTGAATATCTGCCAAGTACCTACAAATTACTTTAAAGATGTGATTATATTTTTTTGGATAGATTTAGGCAACAGGTTGAAGGGATTAATTTACAGAAGAAAAGAAATAAAGAAAATTTCTCAAGTTATATTACAGATTATGTAATTTTATGTATTAATCCTCATTTAATTCACAAAACAGACATTTACTATATATGTCTTCAATATTCACTGTGCTATACATAATTTTTTTAAAAAAGCAAGATATATATCGTGACTAGAGACTTGATTAACATATATACTACTAAGAATAAAAATTAAAACCTGTGTATTGAGGGGTTATGTGGACAGACTTATATACGCAGGCCACAATGCAAAGATCTCACTATACCTTAGTCATAGGGACTAATGCATTCAGTTTCTGCACCAAATCCAGGCTTAACACTAAAACTTAATTTTATAATCTCAAATATGAAGGAGATACACTCCTACTCTCCAAGACGCAGGAGAGAGAAATGAGAGAAATTCCATTTTAAAGAAACAACCCAAAGTTTGGTTAGACAATGAAAACACTCCCTCTCACAAGGATCACTAAATTTCTGCTTAAACAACCAACAAACTGACAAGTCAAGGAGCTCAAGAAATTCCAGAAATGATTTTGTTGTCATGTTTTTATACCATTCCCCTAAAATAACACTGACTCTCAGTTTAGTGTACTAAAGTGAAAGGTCTCATTTTAAAGTTATGTTAAATAAAAGAAACCATTATTTTAAATAATTTAAATATAAAAAAGATACATAATTAGGAATTCATGGCTCTTTCTCCCTAGGAGCCAACAGCAGTGCTTCCTAAATAAGAGCTAAATACTGAGACAATCACCAACAGCTGTTATATTGTTAGCTGTCCTATTGCAACCCATGCTGTAGAAGACCCATAAGACAAAACCTCTGATAGCATTAACGCCAATTTAAGTCCTGTTTCCCAATTAGGATTTAAAATTATGGGGCAGAGAAGCAAGTGATAAACAGAAATATGTAAGAATTCTGAGGAGAAAAAGGGTCACAATTAAAGGTTATTACTTTTATTTCTAGAGGTAAAAATCTATGGGCAGGCATGAAAACATGAACAGTAATGAAGCTATAAGTTAATTATGTGCTGTGCTCTTGTGGGGAAGAAAAATTAATAAAAACAAAGAAAGGCAAAAAACAATATTTATTCTAATCTAGGAGAAATGTCTTTTGAACTGGACTAAAAATTTGTTCTGATTAATCATGTTACAATTCTGATCCCCCAACACGTCAACCTGGAGGAAACCTTACTATGTTGGGCTTCATACTGGGATCCATGATGCTGTAGCTGCTGAGAACGCCGGTAACAGCCGTCTCCAGCTTTCAGGGCCTGCTTAAACAGCTTTTCTGCTTCAGCAATGGTTGTTGCTTCTTCTTCAGCCAAGAGAATATAAGCAGTTGCACACCTGTCCATTCAGATAACAGCCGCCATCAATTACAAATCCAAGGACATTGTAATAGCTGTAGGAGTGCATGCAGAAGGGCAGGAGTTATGCCAAAACATGCAGAGTGGCCAACTGGTTCATGCACCCCTGTCTGTAGTTGTTGACACAAAATAATGGTACAAAAGAAATGTCTGTGTTGTAGCTTGAGAGGTAGGATGAGTAGTGTTAGGAGCACATGGACTCTGCCCCTTATTAGTGTGTCACTTTGGGCAAGTTATTACTCTGCCTCCCTGATGGAGAACAACATGGAATCCACTTGTTCACAGTGTTGTTGTGAAGGTTAAGTAAGGTGATGCATGAAAAGTGCTCAGTACAGTAGTAGCCAGCATGTGGTACATGCTCAACAATGTCAACTAACGATGGCAATGATAATAGCTGTTATTAAACATCTCCTTCTGACACTCAAAGTTAGAGATACCATAAAGTTTACTTTTATTTACTAAACACAGATTCTCTTTAGTCTAAGGGTTTATTCAGAACAAGAAATTCATTAAATCAAGTAAGTTGTTCATTTAACAAGCAGTGCTTCAACATTTCATTACAGTTAGCACTGGTTTTCTATGTCAGAGAAGAATACTGGAAGAACCTACAGGTAGAGTTATTTCAGAAGAGCTCAAAATTAGATTCACCCTCAGTAGCAAACAAGGGTTAAATCTCACACCTTTAACAAAAATAGCTACCACCCGTTGCTTAGTTTATATTAAGCACTGTACCAGGCACTTAACATATATCGTCTCATTTAATCCTTTCAACAACCTCTAACATAGGAAGTCAGAAAGGATAAACACTCAACTAACGAACAAGGGGAACTCTTGAAAATTTAAACCTTCCAAATCATAGAACAACCCAAATGCCAAAGAAAGGGAATGTAATAAGGAAACGGTGAGGCCAGAGCAGACCACACAGGTCCTGATCTGTACATATCCCTTAGCTTTCTCCACTGCCTCTCTTGTGGTCATTTCCCTACTTATCACAACCTCCATCAGACCACAAGAGAGAAAATAAACAGAAAGTGAAACCAAATGTTACTTCTACTATTCATAAACTACAACAGCCAGGTAGGAAAAGGAGGCTGAATTTATGGCTTATGTGAGATTTGGGGTTACTAGTTAATCTTAGCCTTGAGGAGGGGTCTTGTAAGTTCTTTAGCCAGTCCCTCTAATTTCAGGCAGGACTGATTAATAGGGCTTTAAACTGAATGTGGTGAGATTTGGGGTTACTAGTTAATCTTAGTCTTGAGGAGGGGTCTTGTAAGTTCTTTAGCCAGTCCCTCTAATTTCAGGCAGGACTGATCAATAGGGCTTTAAGCTGAATGTGGTGAGGTAGGGAGAAAAAAACGCCCAGAAAAAAAGCTGTAAAACCAATTACTGTGGAGGGCAGCAGATACGACTTGGGAGAGAACAATTATGATGCTAAAACTGCCCAGTGATTCATTGGAGAAATAAATGGGTTGGGCATTGGGAAGCAACACTTTAGGCTTCAGACGCCGACACATAAATATAAGGTCCAGGGTAATGAAGTGAAAATTGAGATTATAATACTGAGTGGTGGACACAGTATCAGAGGAATTAGCTATAAGATTATAGTTGGTGGGCTGGGAACTCAAGACAGGTTGGGGCTAGCTTGCTTGCTTTGTTTATTTATATTGCAAATAGCACTCTTAGGAGGAGAGGCAGAGTAGCACTACTGGCCAAGAAAACATACATCTATGTAGAAACTCATGAGTCTGGGGTAGAAACATGCTAAGAGCTTATGAGTGAAGGAGAAAGGAAAGAGCAATAGAAGTGCTAATGGTTGGGGAGTACAGAACAGACTGCTCAGCTCAATGGAAGATAGAGATGATGCGTCCTGTCACAACACGATACACATACAGAAGCGAGAAAGTGTGGTGATGGGGGTGTCAACCATCCAGATATCTGCTAGAAGAAGTCTCATTTGGTTAGAAGTAGGGCACTCAACAGGTTCTTGACTTACTTTGGTAATAATTTTATCTCCCAGATGGTAGAGGAAGCAATTAGGGGAACTTCAACTCTGGACCTAATTCTGACCAAGAAGAAAAAAATAGTTGGTGAAATGAAAATTGATAGGAACATTCAGAGAGAGTTACTATGTCATTTCGGAATTTAGGATAATCAGAGAAGGTAAGGTGGACTTCAAAAAATTCAAAGAAAAGAGGCGTGATTCAATGGCATGAGACGCAGAAGGAAAAATGGTTTAAGAGGATTAAGCAGCTTCCAAATGTCTAATCAAAACTGCAATCACAAATGACCCTCTCAGGAAGAAAAGAGGGGTGACAAGTAACCACTATGGCTGCACAGAGATCTCTCACAAGGTCATATTTCTAAAGGACATGTAAAAAAAGATGGAAAGAGGGCATGTAATGAAGGGCTACAAGAGAAATGAGCTTTTCAGAATAATGTCAGGAGAGCTACAACTCCACATTAGCTGACGCTTGCAAAACAAAATAAAGGCAAAACAAAAAATGCTAAAGACAACCATCTATTCCCTGTTTTTAAATTATGTTTAAGGCCCTAACACCACCCCCACTTCTCCAAAACCATGACAAATATAAATAAGCAAAAAAGAAAAGCAACACAACAACATCAAAACAAGGAAGGTTTATAGTTAGTAGCAGCAGATAATAAAGAGAAAACAAAACTCTCTAACTCCTATTTTGTTCCTGGTTTCTCCATCAGGGAGAATGATTGTCAGACTGACAAAGGGAGAAGAAACCCTAAAATGAATAAAAAGATGTAAGATAGCAAGTAACTGATCTATTGTAAATGAATTATTGTACTGGGATAGGCAAATCCCAGGAAGCCAACAGATCCTGTAGGCAGCCCACGGAATTGCTCTCTGTGTATTGTTAAGGAATCGCAAAGAATGGAGAGGTTCTAGAAGATGAGATGACTAATGTAGCAAAAATGTTCAAAAAGGGGAAGAAGGCAGACTTCCCAAACTACAGAACAGTGATTTGGAAAGATATTCTAATGGATTATTAAAGGGATAGTTTCTAAGCATTTTTAAAAGAAAGTAGTGAATGCTGGAAGCTAGCTTAAATTCACTAAGAATAAATAAATCAGTTCGTGCTAGCTTAATGTGCTCTAATGGATTTACTATACATTAAAGATCCATAGCTACAACTGGCATTTTTAAGATCAAAATGCGGAAATATGGGTTGAATCACAGTGTAATTGGGTGGCTTAGTAATTGGTTGTACAATAAATACCAAAGGGTGATGATCCATGAAGACATGAACCTGGAGGGTGGTTTCTATATGTCATGTCACAGGGTTCTATCCCTGGTCCTGATACTTTTATTAGAAACATGGATGACACATAGAAGGCAGGCATATCAAATTTGTAGATGACAAGAAACTGGAAAATAAATATGTTGCATGACAGAATCAGAAACCAAATAGATCAACAGGTTACACTGGCAGGATTTCCAACTCTCAAGTGAATCTTTTCACTAAGACCTCTGAAGATTCTGTAACCCTCTTCAGAAAAATCATAAAATAGTTTAACAATGACCACTTGGCAGGGAGAGTGTCGAGGTGATTCAAGCACCAGATGGGTGTTTGAACTACAAGACCTTCAAGGTCTCTGCCAACCCTGAGCTTTTATGACTCCAACTTTAAGAATCTTTCTCATTTCCTGACACCTCCAGACGAGACTTCCCAGCCTTCCTTGGTGACCCACAGAATGTTTAACAGCACTAAGGACAGCATTTCCTCTTATCTTTGTCTTGATCTTGAAATATTTTTAAAGTATAATTTCTTCACTTTATGTTTTTACTATGTTTTCCCTACTAGCAGAAGTTCTACCTAGAAAATGTGATGGCAGAGATAAGCATTCTATATCTGGAAAAGTGTCCCTGTCACAATGTTTTAGATATGTAAAGCACTGTATTTATGTTATGTCCACACATTATTCCATGGCTAGCCCTTGAAGGATTTAATTTAGGGTCAGAGCAAAGCCACTAAATTGTTGTCTAAAATGACTAAAACTATCTTCACATGGATGTCCTTTATAAAAAAAATTTTTAAATAAATTAATACCCCCCCCAGAATAATCCTCAAGTTCAAATTCACAGTTTAAGTATCCCATGAATGGCAACTGAATACATTCAGCAAGCAAGATTTCCCCCCACTTACTCATTTATCTCTAAGGCTTCATGGGCTGCAGAAATCCTAGCTTGGGGGTTTCTCTCTCTCCAGGCTTTCTGCATTACTATTTTAGAAAAAGACAGAAAAGCACGTCAATAAATACTTAAAAAGACTCAGTACAGGTATAGCTAAATTAATAGCTTTCAGCTTGAATTACAGGAGAACAGTTCACTTACCAGGGTTAGCCCAAAACTCCAAAGTCACACAAATACATTCTAATTTGCTATTCCACTGTCCTTCAATTGCTGATATCAAATCTTTCTTATGCTCATAAAACTAGAGGTCTAATATCTTATAGACTAACCCCATAGTCAAAATCATAGAGACTTAATCTTATTAAGATTTCTTAATCAAGAAAAGAAAAGGCATTCTAACAGAGATTTAATATTTCTTTTGCTCCTTAATATCATTTGTTGTTAGAGAACATACATTATTTTGCACATTTTGGGATGAGATTGCTACTAATCTCTTACTTCTGTTTAGACACAGCACAATTTTTATCGGTCATTTTCCCAAACACTTGCTACAGGATCTGGATATTAGAACATTCTAAAACCACTGGAAGAATTATGAGTTGGATCAGAAAAAAGTGCTTTAGACTTTTGCTTAACATGAGTACCTGTTCCCAAAGTTTGCTGCAAACCCAGTTTTTATATAGCAGAGCAGTTTGTGAATATATTGTGGGAAGCTTAATGCTTGGAATTTTCATTGTATTATGTATCCACCATGGCAAGGGTACCTTTTTAAAAAGGGTAATGATCTCCTTATCTAATTTGTTTTATAAATTTGTATCTTCTAAGTTAGTTTCTAAGTTAGTTTCTTAGGAGCATGTACATATTCCTTTTTTTTTAAGGTTTTTTTTTCACCTATTTACTTTAAGTTTGGTAATATAAAAAATATCAGTAGGATTATATGGAACTCAGCAGTATGAAATGCATGCTAAACAAAGTCTCTTCTAGGGTGGAAAACAAATCTGGATTCCAATAACTAAGTCCATGCCCCCATTCAATGCTAGTGAACCTACAAATAGGCATATAAATCACTATAATATATTCATTAATTATTTGGGTTCACTGAATTTCTAACTAGAATATCATCAAGGAGACATGACCTTTCACTCTATCTCAACCAAGGATTTAGTTAGCTTCATGGTATATTTTTTAAAAATAACATTTTAAATTATAAAGAGGGGACCCATTTCTGTATTAATACTTCATTGCGATAAAGCCAGTTTTACTGGTTAATCTCCAATTTAATATCTTATTCATCAGGGTTTTTGTAGAGCAGATATTCTACAAGTAGTAACCTTGATCTTTAAAACAAACCAAAAAGCCCTCCCACTCAGTAACTATCTAAAGGATTTTCCATACTTGCATCTGCAGGACGCAGATGGTCCGAGTCACAAGTAAAGAATGTCTGGTGGTCCTGGGCAGAGAGGTTCATGTCATAGTAAGTCAGAGGCTCTCGTCCAGTCACCCAAGTGTACCTGTAAAGGAGAAGTAAGATGGTCAGGCACTTTTGAGGGAGGAAAGCAAGACCTACAAAATATTAAGCTGCATAGGTGTTGAACCATAACACACTGAGTACTATTGCCAATAAATAAAAAAATAATCATCCTAGTCTCCCTTTAGGAAGTATATCAGCAGAAAAAAAAGTTAAAAAAATTCTGCTATATTTTTGTCTTAAAATTTTTGTAGCACTAGCTAATGAAAACCTTTCCTAATTAGTATTATGAATAGAGATTTCCCCAAAGCTATGAAAATTCTTATCTGCCTAATTACTCTGCAAAATAAAATTCTAACATTACTTCTGTGGCATCTTTATAACCATGTTCCAGGTAAGCCTCAAAATATTTTGACTACATAGTATATATAGTGAAAAGAAAAATGTAATAGAAAATCTCTAAAAACCACACATTTTTGTATGTTATCCTAATTTCAATGCTAAAATATTTATAAAACAGAAAAATCAAAACATTTGAGGGTAGCATCAGAAAATGGAAGCACTATATAGACTGTTAAATGACCCCTAAATGAACCTGAAAAACATTTACTGCTGTCTTTGCTCTCTGAACTAGACCCATTTGTTTCCCAAGCTGTCAAAATGCTTACCGATTATATTCAGCACCCCTAAATAAATTTAGTGGATTTCGCCATACTTTGCATTCTGCAACAAAGAGAAATGTGAAAATGTTACACATAAGTTCAGAGACACTACAAGCTAATTAATTCAGCAGAACACCCTTCCTGGCCATTTGATAAGATAATTTTATTCTCTATCCTCTACATGGTAAGCAATGTGGAAAAACTCTGGGTAGTTAATCAGGAAATGTAGCTCAGGCACCAGGACTTTGGAAAGTTTCGTCTAATCTCTCCAGACCCAAGTTTCCTAATTTGTTAAATCAAGGCACATGCCAAGAGCAGCTAGTTCATAACCTCTATAGTCACTTCAAGAGGTCCAAATAGATTGTATAAATTTATTTCTACATTATAGGTAGAAGGTATAGGTAGAGGTAAAACTACTTTCTGTTATTCTAAAATATATCTTACAACGACTACCTATATAACAAGCTAAATTTAACCTCCAGAGCACAATATGTAAAGAACCTTAGACTCTTAATTAGGGCCTATGCTAATATTGATTTTGTGATAATTCACCAGGTTGCTTTTACATTGCTGTAAAGGAGTGGTAAGAAAATTAATACTAAAGTTGCCATTATGGTAGAGAGAAATGCTATGAAAATAAATTGTTTTCAAGTACTTTAACATTGTTTACTTATGCAGACACAGGTAATTAATCATCATACTAATATCATAATGTTAGCATGTAATAATAGATTATACATCTTGTTATACAAGGACCACAGGCAGAACCATAGGACTTTAATTTAGAAAAGTCAACCATTAGCTTTTAAGACTGTGTTATAGTAAATGTGTGACTAATAAGCTACAGTTCTTTTAAAACAGTCTATGATTAACAGTTTCTAATGATTCAGAATGCTACCATTTCTTTGAATGAATAATTCTTTATTAGAAAATAAAATCAGTTAACAGTACTTAAGAATCTATGTGTGCTGTCAGCCAAAAAACACACCCAAAGACGTAGATACACAAAAGTGAGCAATTATTACAGAAACTGAAAGAACATTAAAGGCCATGGATGATTCATTAAGATTCTACCCTCAATCCTGTTACATTCAACATCCATCTGTCCACCCATCCATCCATCCATCCATCCATCCATCCAGTATGCATTAACTGAGCACCCAGTGGGTGAGAGAAACAAGTAAAACCATCAATTACAATACAGCGTGAAAATGGAGGAAAACATAAAGCACTATGGGAACACTGTGTAATCTCAATAAATTTTTGTTAAAATAGTGAATGAAAGGTGTACACATAACAGGAAATCATGGTTTTATTTAAAGAAAATAAATTTATCTTTAAGTTAGGGCAGGATCCCACCTGAAATTTACTTAATGTTTGGAAACAATGGTCCTAAATTTTTTGTCACTTAGCTTAACTTGCCACTTAGGAAATGATGTTTGCTCAGTTAGTTCAGCAGTTTTGAATTTTGCTCTTGAGAAACTGAGATTCGATGGCTGTCATTTCATATGACACTAATTAGAAAATTATGCTTCCCTTAAGTAAATACTTTGTTTCCAGACATAAAGCTCCTTAGTGGGGTCACTAAAGTACTCCAAATCATGGCTTGAAACAACTGGTGAGCCAAACAACCATGATCTCAGCCCTCATGGCTTTTATAGCACTTAGCTCTTAGGTCCTCACCACTCCCAACCCCTCCTAAGAGGATGTCTTTCAAGATTCCAAGTGCTCTTCTTAAAGCTTCATGAATATTGCTAGGTTTGTATTTAACACATAATAAACGTGCACACAAATTTGTGTGCAATCATGGTCATTTTAGCATTATTTACAACAAAATAGGACATTTTATTGTAGAAGCCTCTCCCCCACCAAATTTCATCTGAAATATCAGTAAAAAGGTTATGACAAATACTTTGTCTCCAACAAATATATTGCCTGGAAGGATAAGTGCCATTCAAATATCAATTGACAAATTCTAAAGAAAATTGTCTTCAATTAAAATTTTAACTCTATTATACATTAGATACAAATGAAATTATTTCTAAATAAAAATAACTCCAAATAGAAATGGTGTGTATACCTAAAGTATTACTGAGCAGTATTTAAAATGCCATCTTTATTTAGGAACTGCCATGATATAGCCAGCAGGGGGTGCTGCAAACATTTTGAAATACTGTTTTTATGACTTCTACTAGAGAACTGAACTTTAAAAAAAACACATTGTTAATATCAGTGTCATACATCTGGTCTGTATTCAGTTTCTTCAGCTATTCCTGAAACTTAGAAATGAGTATCTAAGTAAATGTAACAGATGTAAAATGTTCTGAATGAGAAAAAATATGTGATGAAGAAATATATAAGAAATGTCTTCATAAGCTATATCCTTCAAGTTGAGGGTGCAGAGCAGGTACAATTTTCTTTTAAGAAATAAGCAATCTAGAGGTCGAATAAGAACACATGTAAAAATTTTCACTTCAAATTAGGTCATAGCTACATTAATTTCCTCTTTGCTGCTTTGTTTCATAATTTTATCTTTACTATGAAAACTCTCTTGGTCTGGAATCACTCTAGGGAACATACGCCATAAATATCAGACTACCTGATGGTTTCATGATATGGACAAAGGTTGTAAATGCCAAGAGTATCATAATATGAAGATTTAAGTCAATAAATTAAACTCAGGTCTCCAGAGGGTAAAAGTTTTTCTACATGAGGTCCAGTTTCTTATCTTACTTGTATCTTTGAGAAATAAATTTCTTATTTAAGTCTGAATTAAAATTTTACCTCCAAAAGGTATTTTCCATTATCCATCAATATCAACAATTTTAGTGCTCTTCAGGAGCACTAAAGGTTGACTGGGACTCATCAAGGGCTTGCTAACATCATTAATAGTTCAGTTAAAAATATGCCCTTGATACAATTAACATGTTCTCTCTGATTCCATCTGTAGTAGCCCACAGAGGAGTCTCTACCCATAACTGCTGATAGGAATGTTCAGACCTCACCTGCACATAAGAATGCAATTCAAGAGAAAGAGAAGCAGTAAACATTGGAATAGCACTTGTTTAGTTCCCAAAGGAACTAAATGGAGAACAGATTCCATTCACCCGTAGGATGACAATAAATTTCTGTGTGGGAGATAAAGAACATAAAAAATAATACTTACCACCGTCAAGGACTTATAAAATCATGCTCCAATCTTTTTTTCAGTCTTCCCTCTCACCATTCCCTACCAAAACTTTCCATCTCAGTGATACTTATTTCTTGCTTTTTCATATTCAGTTATTCCTCCAGAATGCCCACCTCATAGGACTGAGTGGTTTAAACATGTATAGAATGGCTATTATGCATTAGTCCTTGCATGAGGTCCTGGGTTACAAAAAAAAGATACAGTTTATGACCTAGAGGAGCTTATACTGGGTTGGCAAAAAAGTTCATTCAGGTTTTTCCATAACATCTTATGAAAAACCCGAACAAACTTTTTGGCCAACCCAACACATTGGTAGAAAAAGGAAAAGACCACTGAACCACTGCATGGCATCCAGATGAAGAAGCTCCTTAGAAGGAATAAATGTACTGAGAGAACCAAAGACTTTCCCTCTGTCACAGTCCTCAAGGAAAAAGAGAACTTAATTCTCAGAAAAACCAAAAGGCTCTAAAGTCACAGGGCTTTTAATCACATGCAAGAAAATATTTTTCTACATCCAACCTATTTAACTCTGAAAACCTTTTTTCCCGAAAATTAAAAATATATACATAGAGAGAATCCCCACGCCTAGGACTTTCAAATATATAAATAACTAATTTATAGCCTAGGAAGATGTATTATACCAAAAAGTTACCACCTCTTCCCAGGATCTGAAATGTAATAATGACAGTAATACTATTACAAATAGCAGCAACAGCAACTTGTGTCATAGCTATGAGCTTGATTTTCATTGAGCCTTTCTATGAAAAGGCTTAAAGCTCTAGTCATCTAAGTTCCTAACATAAGTTAGTGAGGGTCACAGAGTAGGCCCTTTTTATAGAAGTAAAGAGTAAAGCATAGAAAAGCTACATAATTTCCCCAAGGTAAAAGTAAATGAGATTAAAGTCTGGTATCCAGATTGCCTAACAATTACCCACAATATACAACAGACCTGTTACCTACAACATCATATTTTTAAAATCCTGTGACTTCATCAATTGAATCTTCTACTAGAGGAACAGTTTTGAAAACTCCTCTGGGGAAATGTGAGGCACTTTGAAACAATACTTTTAAACATTTTAGTTCCAAAGTACAACAGAGAAGGGACCTAACTAATGTTTTCTCCAATATATTATGACAATCAAGATTAACCCCAAGCCAGTCAATTTCTGACATGTGATTCTGCATATATTTATTAGCTTTGCTATCTCAGAAATGAATACCCAATTCTCTACATCATACAGATTGATCTTACGCAATCATTAAGAGTAACAAAATATCCATTTTCTTTTTTTAAGTCTTTATTGAATTTGTTACAGTATTACTTCTGTTTTATGTTTTGGCTTTTTGGCCTTGAGGCATGTGGGTTCTTAGCTCCCCGACCAGGGATTGAACCTGCACCCCCTGTATTAGAAGGCTAAGTCTTAACTGCTGGACAGCCAGGAAAGTCCCCCATTTTCTTAAATAACTAAGCTTTAACTTTTCATAACTTTTTGAAATAATTAGTTTGAAAAGATTACTAGAAGTAAAGGCACAAAGTAATATGTAGGTAGCTTTCAATTCAACAAATATATTACTCTCTCAAATTCCCTTCTGGAATGATAAAAGGTGTAAATAATTATGAGTTTTAAGACCATTTTTATTGATCTACTTTATTCAAGATAGTGTACAAATTTCTTCAAGAATATTGCTAAATGGCTAAATCTCTGTGTCTCTCATACATTTCTCATTGGTCATTTCTGACCTAAGTCAATCAACTCCACCAAATAACATGAAAACTGTGAAATAAGTTTATTAAATAAATGTTCACCAGGGGAAAAAAGTGTTTTTGAGGCATTTTCACCATTCATCTGGAGAGCTAATCTATGCTAGAA